AGTTAAAACTCGTTTTGACTCCCTGGATTAATAATAATAATAACAGTACTTAAATATATATGATAAAACTCAATTGAATTCTATATCACATGAGCAGATTTAAAGGCGGTAGAAGATTTAATGGTCTATAAAAAGAGCCTTAAAGGTCGTATGGTAGGAATTCGTTGGAGCTATTCAGAAAATTCAAATTTGAACGGATTTTTAGTTTCGTTTGATGTGAATGCTTTTTCAAATACGACAAACACTATTAATATTTCACCTGAGAAATGTACTGCATGGCCAGAATATTACTGTCACACTTTTCATAATTTGACTTTTAATAAATTATACAAGTTTAATGTAAGTACCTTTGGAAGTTCATATAAAACATTTTACAAACTTGTTATTGTTTTGATATATTACTCTTTTAGATAAAGCCAACATCTGTTGATTATCCCGAAGGTGATAATGTTTCATCCATTACTTTCAGCGCCCTTGATGGAAGTAAGTTTATCTATAACTATCCTCGGAAAGCATTTAAAATTAATATTTGTCTCCGCTAAATATGTATTTATATTTTATTTTTAAATACAGTTCCCGATTCACCGAGAAATATAAAAACCACTGAAATCGGCCATAATACTATAAATCTCCAATGGGATATTCCTTGGATATTCAATGGTGTACTGAAAATGTTTATCGTAAATGTCGAAGAAATATCATCAGCAGATATCAACACGTGTTGTACTAGCATCACACCAATAGAAATTCCAATCGATGAAGAATTACCGAATTACAACTATACGGTAATTCTACATGATTAGCTTTATATACATAAATTACAACATCAGACGATTTAGTACAGAAAACGTCTTGTTATCAATTAATTTTAACTTGATTTACAGTTGAATTAGTGATAAAAACCATTAAGAAATTTACCGAATTTCGTTACGCGAGAAGGAATCCGAATAACTCTTTTTTAGATAACTAGTTGTCTTTTACGACATTTTAAGTTTATTCAGTATAAGTCAAATTCATTGACCTTACAATATCTACTTTTGTAAAGTTTTAACATTTTGCATTTTTGGGAATTCGGTTCTTACTATAAATTTAATATTAATACTTAAACTCATTAAATTAGGACATTCACCCGTTTTATACCGTGTAAGAATTATTAATAATTAACATGGAGTAATGATCTCTGTTTACACTCCCAACTCTTATTTTTCTTATACTGTATATAATCATGATCAGTTGATTATTTACATTTTTTACATAATAAATTAATAACTTATTTTGTAGTTGGTGGATCTAAAACCAGGATCAACATATTCAATCGGAGTAATGACGGTTTCTAAATCATCACATTATAGTTCTCCAGCAAAGATTTCCGCTACAACACTTACCATTTAGTTATAATAAAATATAAATGTTTATTATATAAGTGTGTGGTTCTACATTTATATTATAACATTTATGTTATGAATTATCTTTGATATGCAGCACTTAATCATTGGAATCGCATAGTTTATTTATTATCATGCAATATATATCAAAGCATAAAATGTTATTATTAAAAATATTTTAAACTTCTATAATGTTATACGCAAATCGTTAAAATTAGCAAATTTCAGTACACATATTATATAATATATTATGTACCAATGCATGCCAATAATTATAGATACATATTTGTTTTATAATACATTATTATTATAAAAAATGTGAAATTATTAACAAGTCATATATTCTTTTAACATGATATTTTAATCCTATTCTAGTACATTTTAGTTTTTATTTTATTTCTTTCAGATGTTTATATTAGGGTGTAACCGGGAGGGTATTATCACAAAAAAGAAAAACATATATGATTTTAAAAAGAATCATAAAATGTGCTTATTGAATTTAAATTCAAATATTGAGGTACTTTTAAATCAAATATGAGATTTTGATGAATTTAAACCGATTTGATTTATTTCTATATCTTTATGTATTTCAAAGAGAACACATAATTATTGTTTTGTATTTTAAATATTAAGTTAACATAAATAAAATCAAATATAAGTGCAATTTATATTATCTTGATTGTTATTAAACAAGACATGAAAAGAATAAAAAAAATATGCAAAAAATGAAACAATGAAAATGAGTCTCCTGTTGTCCGCAGAAACTATTATTAAGGTGAAAATAAAAAAAAATGTTAATTTATATAAAGAAGATAGAAATTTATTGAATTTAAAAATTTATGTTATCGTATAAGACTACGTTATATGACGCTCCGACAGTGCATTTAGTAAGTTAGTTAGCTTTCGTAATTCCGAATATTGTGACTAACCACACTGCAACCATCTACTATCACTGACGGAC